CCAGCTTACTTCTTTGGCCCACCTGTGTCCCATCCCTGGGGCCTTCCCACCTACATTCCATCACTGAAAGAACTATAAAAAGGGGAAACAACCTCACTTCTACGGATTCCATCTCTTGGGTCCCCTTCTTCCTCCGGGAGAAGTCTTTTCTGCTGTCCTTTAATAAACTTCTAATTTCCACTCTGACCTTGCCTCGGCGTGCTTCTCTGGTGTTATTCTTCAACACTGGGGAAGGAAGGACTCGTCATGGTCAACAGCAGTAACACTAAGATACATGACTTTAATTACATCTGAAAAATTCCTTCAGAGAAGTACCTAGATTAGTGTTCATTGAAATAATCAGGGGAGGGCTCATGGCTCAGTGGTGGGGTGCTTGCCTAGCATGTGTGAGGCACTGGGTTTGATTCTCAGTACCACATATAAATAAAATAAAATAAAGGTCCATCAACAACTGAAAAAAAAAAGAATCAGAGGATGAGAATTATTGAGAGTTGAGCATTTCTGGAATCCTGCCTACTACAAACCACTCATAGTGTTGTTGTAGAATTATGTTGGTTAATTCACGTAAAACAACTAAAACTATATCTGGAATGAAGCTCTCATTAAACGTACTAATTAGCTTGAGAACATAGTCCCTGAAATAATCAAAAGATTTCCTTCCTATGGAATTCAGATGAAAAGATAGAACGCTATTGCACATCCAGTTGGTCAGTGAATTTGTTCTATTTGTCAAGAAATCTTTCCCCTAGGGGCTGGGGATGTGGCTCAAGCGGTAGCGCGCTCGCCTGGCGTGCGTGCAGCCCGGGTTCAATCCTCAGCACCACATACCAACAAAGATGTTGTGTCCGCCGAGAACTAAAAAATAAATATCAAAAAAATTCTCTCTCTCAAAAAAAAAAAAAAAAAAAAAAAGAAATCTTTCCCCTTCGCTCTTGGCTGCCATCATATTTTTGCTCCACAGGGCGTGTGCATATAACTACACAATACAAATTTTGACTGTAAAATGTTCTAAAAAAGATAAAAAGATATATTTTAAAAATTAATATTTAGTATTTCTCTATTTTTCATTCATTCATTTAAAATTGTTGATTATTTTATTATTCAGTGTGAGTGTCCCTTTCCTAAAACCATGGATCTAATTTAGGGAGAATAAAATATCAGTAGTATTTAAGGAAATCTCTGCCAATTCTTACTCTCCATCTTGTGTTCTGGACATTCCAGCAACATATCTGATAAACTATTTAC